TTATAGTGCTATAGTGAGCTATAGTGTATGAATGTGTGAATTAGGGTTGGGCGATGTCGACCAATTTGGCATGGTACGATGTCTAACGTGAAACATCGCAATGGACGATGGCATCGTCGTCATAGGTGGAGGTGAATTAATTATTTATTATATTTAAATAATTCATAACAAATTAATTATTTGTAGTCTGTTTCAACTACCTGACCCGCATGGTCTTTGTTTTACCCAAAAAAAATCATAAATAAATAAAGATTTAAGTTACACACAAATTAGCACTGGTCAATCACTTTTTCCGCTGGACTGTGTCGTTATAATGTCATTCACAAATTTGGTCAGTAAAAAAGGTGCCCAACTAACAGTTTCTGAGGTTTTCACTAAAATTACTTAGTACTGAAAGTGAAAGATTTAAGCAGTGTACTGATGCTGTGACACGTTATCTGATAGATTTAAAAGACAGAAGAGTTGTTAGAGATTAAATGAATTAAATATCACGTTTAACAACTGTTTAACACTGTTTTTACAGTGAAGTGAACTGTAATCATTTGAAGCTCCAAGAACATTTGTGCACCATAAAAATATGCTTATGTGCATACATTGCTACCAAAAAAGGTCCAAAGGTTCCTAAAAAGAGTCGATTTTGTGTCTTTTTTGTTGCTCTATAATTCTAAAGAATACTGCAATCAGCCAGAAAAAAAAGATTTTTTTTTGTAAAAAAAAAAATTATAAAAATAAAATATATACTGTAAATAAAATAAAAATGATAAAAATATTTTCATCCATCTCTGAGTGAATATAGGCAATGCATTTTGGTGCATTTAAACAAAACAGATTTAATAAGCAGATATATGAAAATAATATTTTAGTCCCCAAACATATTTAGAAATTCAAAGATAAAACAATTAAATTCAAGCTAAATATTTCAAAACTACATTACAACCTACAAACTTTTTTACAAATCTTTTGCTTCTCTTGATTTTACCTGTTTTTTAAATTTGAATTTAATATTTTTCTAGAACACATAAATTTGTGTGTACTCGTTTTTGGACCGTTATCGTAAGTTATTTTGTTAGATAAGCTCCAAATGTGGCTTCAGTACTGACTAATTTAATGCATATGCACAAATATAATATTGTATGGCCTCCTATTAAAAATATGAATTTAAAAAACAGATTTGTGAGGGGTGTACTTAAACATACTGAGCACAGTATGTACAAGCATATACATTAGTAATAACCTTCAGAATATTGAAATGAACAACACTAAATTTTAGTGTTTATAAGTGCTTTTGACGTAGAAATGTATGACTCTGTAGGAGAAAAACTCATTTTGGGAACAAAAGCCTTTATAGATATTTAATTCTACAAATATTCAGAAGGGTGTTTCAATTTTTCTTTTTATTAAGCTAAAAAATTAAACGCCAAAAAGCCCAAAATGTTTTTTGACAGGCGCATGGAAAACAAAAACTCTCTATTTAGTGTCTCGCCAAAAGGTCATTTTGAAGTGTATATTTGACAACTATCTTAGGTGGTGAATCGTCTTTGTCCATTGATTTCTGCCCTTTTCCCAGCTTTTGTTCAGCTTTTCGCTTGAGTGAAAGGATGACGTACCGACAATCCTGTTTTATCGCTTTCTCTCTGTGTTCTGAGACGAAAGCGTAGAGATTACCTCCAAGTCTTCTTACAATCCCTGAGGATTCACATTCGCTTTTTCTCCATTGACTCCACAGTCATGCCCTTCTAACATGACAGCACAAATCACACCTTGTACATCTTGATGGAGTGAATATGTTCTGGTTAGCAAACTTGAAGCTTTCACCAAGAGAAAAAAAGCCTAAATACACATATATAATCATTATTATCACACAAAATAGTATGAACACCTTTGATTAATGTGCCGTGACTCATGTTACCCAATGTTTTGGTAGTTTTTGTTGTGGGAGATCAATGTTTATGGCTCGTCCACACTTACAGAAGCTGTATTGTGTCATTACAGTTTGTTTTATGATTGAAGTGGCGTTCAGAAATTAATCTGCGTGATGAGGGAGGCATGCTGAAGTGCAACAAAACAAACCACCTCTGCTTAAACGCCTCTATTCAAAACACTTTGAACCATTCCTTGCCATTATTTGTATCGCGACGGCATGCAGTCTCACATGAATACTGATTTCTTCACAAACCATTGATTTCAGTGTTCAGCGCCAGCTAAATTGGGTTTCTTACTTGACTAAAGATGCTTGTCCTCCAGTGGAGTATTTGGTAAAGTTCAGCATGGGGGAAAATATCTGTCAACTAATCAGCTGATGCTAGCTGACAGCGATGAGGCTTTTTATGCGGCTCCGCTGTGAAAGTATACAAGCAGATACTCTCTCGGGCTAATGAGGTATTATTTTTCAGACAATCTAATCATTCAGAGAGTGAAAGAAGCATTACTGATTTGCCCCTTTTCTCATTTGTAATGAAGGAAAAAAGTGTCTGCTGAACGGCTTTTTAATGTGTCTGCAAACTTTTTGACTGCAAAACAAGATGCCTGACAATAACAAGCTTTAAATAGGTCTAAGTGTATTTTTGTCCAATTTGAAAATCCAGTAAAATTGAATTTGGCCTTAAAATGACTAGGACTCTTTGCGAAAGATCAGACCAACTTCATGAGGAAAATAAATATTGCAAAACTGCAGAATGACATATGGGTCACTGTGCTAAATTGGTACTTGCAGAAAGTCACAGCATTACAAGAGGCTCTTTGAAAAGGAAGTGAAAAACTGAGTTTAAGCCAAATTTTCCAGTATAACATTTAACACAGGTTGTGAACTCACACACACAACACTGCTCTCACAAAAAAAAAAAAAAAAAAAGCTGCTAAATGTTTTTATGTGTTGGCTGATCTTTTACTTTTTGGTGGTGCTTTTGGGCCCTGACACAAATTTATTGAAATTGATTAGTGGTCTACACAAGTCTGTTTTTCTCAGAAAGGAAAATAAATGAAATGGTAACACAAAATTATAAACTGAAAATACAAGTAAATGAAAATTGTTGGTTTATTAGCTAGTGCAGTGTATCTATGCATTAATAGAATGTTGCTGACTGACAATAGCTATGTTTCCATCTAAAAATGCAAATTAACTTTGCACAAAACTATATTATCGCATAAAAGAAGTGCGAATAAAGCAGCGTTTCCATCCAACCAATCAAAGTGAACAAATTGTAACTTCCTGACTAACTGGCGGCAAATATCAACAGTAAAAATGGAATTTGCTGCCGTAGGAAAAGCGGTGTCAATCTTTTCTACATTTAATAAATGACTTGCATCTCAAAAGGCAATCCTGACATGCAGTGGCGTTTGAAGGTGTGAGACATGCCAGCCTGATCTCACGAGAAAACGTAAGTATTTTACGTTTTGGCAGTTTAGTGGCTAATTCGTACGAATTCGTACGAGTTCAGTCGTACGAAATGGTACGATTTTAAAAAGGAGGCGTGGCACCTGACCCCACCCCTAACCCCAACCGTCATTGGGGGATAAGCAAATCGTACTAAATTGTACGAATTAGATCGTACGAATTCATACGAATTAGCCACTAAATGAAAAAGTTACGAATTGCCGTGAGATTGTGTTGGAGATGCAGCACAGACACTCTTGATTCATGAGGTCTTTAATAAAATAATAACACTAATACTGAGATGGGGGAGACGCAGTGGCTTAGTAGGTAATGCTGTCGCTTTACAGCAAGAAGGTTGCTGGTTTGAGCTTCAGCTGGGTCAGTTGGCGTTTCTGTGTGGAGTTTGCATGTTCTCCCTGCGTATGTGTGAGTTTCCTCCGGGTGCTCCGATCTCCCAGTTAAAAAACATGCGGTACAGGTGAATTGGGTAGGCTAAATTGTCCTTAGTGTATGAGTGTGATTAAGTGTGCATGGATTGGTTTCCCAGAGATGGGTTGTGGCTGAAAGGGCATCCGCTGTGTGAAACATGTGCTGGATAAGTTGCCAGTTTATTCCGCTGTGGTGACCCCAGATTAATAAGGAGACTAAGCCGAAAAGAACATGAATAATACTGAGATGGTTAAGGCAGTTTAGAATGACCAAAACATTTCAAATGTTTTAGATGTTTGTTCATTCACACATTTTATTACATGACCTCTTAAAACAAAATCACATGACCTTTTTTTTTAATGCGCATACTGAAATTTGCTCATAAAAGTGTTTCCATCGTAGTTTATGTGCATCTTTTTTTATCGAATTAAAAGTTAATCCTACTCAGATATGTGCATACGTTTTTTTATGCGCATTTTCAAAATGTTATGCGTATCATGGCGTTTCCATCAAACGTTTTTTATGCGCATGTCCAAAACGTACATGAAAGTAGGTTGATGGAAAAGTAGCTATTGATTTCAGTATTGAACATGTCTCTGAAGTCTGACCATAAACGCTGGACACTCTCTAAATATGCACTCAGGGTCAGGTTGCAAAAAAGGAATATTTTGGCAGGTTGCTCAGGGCAAGTAACAGGGAACTGTGTGAAGGTGCACTGAAATTTGGTTGTTCACTTCAAGTACAAGCACAGATATGCTGTTGTCAAAGGATCCAAAATTCACTGACTATTATTTGTTTGGAAATTTAGTGTTGTGCTGCAGTACCCATAATAGGTTACTATAGACCCCATGGGAAAAATCCTGGTATTTCACTCTGTGTAGACATACTGACAATTGTCAATGGAAGGCTTCGAGACCATATATGCACGAGTGCATATGTTTCTTCACAGAGTGACATCATCAACAACTGGCCTATCATGTGTTATCCAGCATTTGTGTAATTTTGCAGATCTGTGTGAACAGTGATCACTTTGACAACACTGTCCTCTCTATGCACAACCTTTCAAAAACACAAAGGAACAACTTGATACTGTGTAAATGCACCCAACATCTTAATTCCCCTCATTATAACTGCTGATAACAAAACAAATTTTTTTTCTTTTGTACTCAGAAACATCAAGAATAAGCAACAATAAAGACTCTTTGTTGCATTTTAAAGTCTGAGCGAGCCGTAAGTTGCTAAGACTTTTATTTCAGTATGTTGATGTTCTTTCGACTAAAACTATTAATTTATTTATTTGAATATTAAGTAAGGGGCAGGGCTTTCTCTTTGCACATTACACTCTTGTAGCAAATTAACATTAAGATGGGAGTTTTTAGGAAAATTGTGGCTGAAGTCATCAATCTGACATCACCAGAGAAGGACCACAACTCCCAATGTAGAAGCAAAGGGTTCATCTTTGATTGAAAATTACCAAAACAAACTTTTTATGTGTGTGTGTGAATTAACTTTGTTTGGTTAATTAATGGTCACAGACCAATTCTTCACCTAAAGTCTATCAAAGTAAACACAGTACATTTTGATTTCACATGGACTTTATTGTAACCTTCAGTCTTAGCTATGATCGAAAGTACTTAAATAAATCAAAATATGTCCCAATGGGATGACTCCCCATTCCCCTTGAAGAGGAGATAAAGCACCTTTCTTTTCCCTTACTTTGGCGTTCCCTCCTCTTGAATATCAAACTGTCGGTTGGGTTTTGTAGACTCGAGCATAAGCTCATAAAGCTGCCCAATCTGCTCATCTTGAAAGTGTTTGAGTTTGTCTTGCGATAAATCAGCTCCAAACACCAGCTTCTTGTTTCCCATTGCTTCCAGCACCTGCGTCTGTAAGGTGTCTTTGTAGTTCTGCGGAGATAATAAGACAGATACAAGAATATTACTTATGAATAAACAACTCCATTTTTTCAGCTGCTTTACAACTTCTGTTAAGTGACCAAAGCCTCAACACTTGTGTGCCTACTATTGGCTCTCTATTGATTTTACACAAAAGCACTAGTGAGAAATTCATTTTATAGAGCGCTATTGATTTACTTAACCAGACTGTGGCAGAATTATTTATTTCTCTTTGTTGGAGAATCATTGATTGCAATTCACATGATGAAACATGGGTTACAGGGGTTGCTGGGGGATGCTGTAAGTATCCACTAACATCTAATGGAGGTCAATGCCTGTCGGTCCTTCTAACCTCGCTGAAATCATTCCCTCTACATCCCTACTCCTCTCTTTAAAGTTTTACAAGAAGTCTCCACAAGAAATAAACTGTAAGTGAAAATGGCCTTCATCATACCTTTGTCTTGTTTGTTAACTTTTTAAAGAACAGATAAGAGTATTTTTAAAGCATTCTGGCTCCTCAATATGCATTCTTGAAGAGGCTGGGATTTTTTTCAGAATCAGTTCCATTTTTTTTTTAAATATAAAAAAATACCACAGCCAAACTATTTCTGTGACGTCAATTTTTCTTCAAGGTCTACATTCCACTGTTGTCATGGATAAAACACAATTCTAAAAATATTTTCAAGAACAGTGCTTACAATGTATGAAAAAAAGCAACATGAGCCGTGTAATCACTCGAAGTGTCAAAGTCAAGAGAAATTAGGAATTTAGATCATATGTAATTATCTTTTTAAAAAACTACTAAGGTTGTACCAGGGTATATGCAGGAATACTAAAGGTACTTTAATATTTTTTAAGACGTAAGACCTCAGAATATCTTAAGACCCCATTACCACTTCAATTTCTAATCAGTATCAAACCTTTGATTTAATAAACAGTTGTAGATAAATAAATCAATGGAGCACAACCATGCAACAGAACTCAGATATACTCGGAAGAAACAAAGCATAAAAGAATAAATTAAGCAGTTGTTTTCAGCGACAGGCTTCAGCCACTGTTCAAACTCATCTTTCTCCAACCAGGAGTTTGCAAACTTACATTTTCCCATTTGCTTGTTGCAAATTACATGAAATTACCTGGACAAAGGAGCCTGGCCGGACGTGCCCCGACCTGAACCAATTGCGTGGATTCAGCATGCCATTTTTAATATTAAGAGGAAAATAAATATTTTTATGCTCTTTTGTAGTCAAACACCTCGAACAATGCTTAAACAAAATTTAAAACCTCGTAAAAACACAATTGAGACTTTTTAAGGGCCTTAATTTTCTCATAATTGATTTATCAACTAAATACTTTTTAAGACCCCGTGGACGCCCTGTGCACTTTAAGAAATGTGTTCATCCTAGGGGCTTTTACAAAAGAGGAATGTTTTCATAGTTCCTAGTTATTGGCAAAATTACACATTTTTAGTAGGTTGTACATAAAGAACAGAAAATAATTTTAGTTCTGTGATCTTTATTTGGAGGAACTACAGTAAATGAGCATATTTTAACCTCATCCAGCACAATCACAAAACAGAATCACAGTGACATAAGTATATGATTATTTAAAATGTTTGAAACAATTACTAAACTCTTCCTAAAACCACTGTATTTAAATGTAAAGGAAACATGTATGAGTTGGTCATGCTCATAAAACAATCATGAAATAGATTTAGAATCATAAAACCAGGTTCCCTTCTAAATCCCTTGTAGCACTTTAACATAAAGTCCTTCAGCACTAAATATATTTACACTCTGATTCTATGGTATGAGCTTAGATATCTTAATTGAAAATTGTCTGTCACGTCTGTCATGACTACTTACGATCAAACCTACAAAACATTAGAGGCACACTCATTCAGAAAAACACACTGAAAACAAAGCCATTAAGAACTCTCATTCACTCTCCCGACGTCTTGGAATTTGGACGCAATTCAATTTTGGAAGCAAAAATCCATTTGTCTGAGAAGCTTCCTCCTCTACATAATGTAATTAGATTGAACATTTGCCAACGAGTAATATTTTAAGAATGAAGGGGATGTGGGCAGGCGGGATGGCAAGCTTTTTGGTGAAGCTCACCTTCTGAATATAAACACCTCACTTCCCATCGCAATGACGCAAGCAGGCAACCCGGTTTATGCTTGTCTGGAATAGCCTGACTTTCCCAAGGGCAAACAACTTTAAAGATCTATACCAATAAATAGATTAGCTCTGTGTCCACTACTCTGTATGCATAATATAACTTGAAAATGTGCTGTTGTAATAACAGTGGACTCATATTTAAGCCAGGGGTCAATTAGTAGATGCTTTAATACAAAGTGACATATAGTACTGCAGGGACAATCCCCCAGGAGTGACCTGGGGTTAATGGAAATGATTCATGGTATACTAAGGTCCTTACATATTCCAAGCTAAGTCGTAAGGAGTTCATGTTTGTAATTCAAAAAACAAAACGTTTCAGACCAAATGTTAAAGAGCCCCTATTATGGGTTTTTGAAAATGAGCTTCCATGCAGTGTGCAACACAGCACTAAGTAATCGAAAATATCCAGCTGAGGTTTAAATTTGAAAGTAAACCATGTTTAAAACTATTTATTCTTTAATGAAATAGTTGACCTAGAATTTAATAAACGAATCATGTTGGGTTTGGATCTTTTGCTTGAACGCACTGACGTTGATAAAGTAAATCACCAAATAAAAAGAGCTGGTTCTGGTAAAACATGACTCAGACACTAGCGAAGCACAGGGGATGATTTTGTCAGTAACTGTTACAGTTCATATAGACCAGTTTCTTTCTCTCCAGATCATAACATGTAAGCGTAATTCAAATTGTTGCCTTGTTTTGTGTAGTTAAATATGTTATGCAAAATATGTTTTTAATAGTGTAACTTGTAATCGCTCTGCAGCTTGTAATCACTATGAGAGGAGTCTGGATGCAGACCTGGTGCAGTGCAATCTGAGCTGCATCCAATGCTTTTTAATGTGCTCACCTAACCCCACCCCTAACCCTACCCGTCACAGTGATGTCATTCACTCCATTGAGTGCATTGTGTCTGACATTGCATCTCTGAGTGATGCAATCTCTGCTTGCATCACAAAAGCTGCATCCAGATACAATTGATCAATATTATAGATCAGTGCTTGTTCTGTATCTCTCAGGTTAAATCTAAATAGAGCTGTTCACATATGCCTTTAAAACCACATTGAAAACACGACACGTGCTTATTACTTTACTGATTTAAATGCCTTTCTTAACTCACAATACTATGCCATTTACCTTTGGTATGGCCACCATTAACTGTTTTTACACGCGCGGTGCGGTACATTTTCAAAATAAACTTTTGCCACTGTGTGAATTAATATTGAATGTGTGTCATTGTTATTGCTTGGGGTTAGGTTTAAGAGCAGAGTAATATGCTGGTGTTTAACTTCATTTCTTTATTGCATTCCTGCATTGGGCTCTTACATACTCTGTGTGCTTTTTTATAGTCATGGCTCGTCCTAAACTGAATCAACCACAACAGACTGGGTCATCAGTCCAATCAGCGCAGACAACCTTCATGCTAAGGAGGGGTTCGGGAACAAATTAATCGCTGAACGAATTATATGAGAGTCGTTGGGATAATTAGGTAAAAATAAATGCATATTATAAAACAATGAAAGTGTTTTTGACCTTACATGCATATCAGCCTTTTGTTGGTGACCACCAAAATCAAAATATGACCTTTTATAATGCAAAACAGGGGCTCTTTAAACATCCTATTAGTATAATAACTAATAAAGCAAGTAACAAATACAGCTAAAATACACTTGCAGTGTAATTTTTAACCTGTGACTCTATACCAAGAAGGCCAGACAATGATTCATCTTTTATGAAGTGGGAAAAAAATATTGATTTCTGGGACACTGTGCGCCATGATGAAATAAATGTATACACGTCTATTCAGATTGTAATCTCAATGGAAACGATAAGAGAACTTGACCTGCAAACAATATTCCTTGCGTCAAAACTTAAGAAGCTGGTACCCTTGGCGGGTGTGCTGCAGAGCTCTTCTTTCTTTGACGTGCAATTCTTTTCAGGAACGTATCTTCATTCAGTTTGTCAAGGTCGGAGTAAAGATAACTATTGTCCTATTGATAGAAAAGCATACAGTGCACATGTATATACTCATAAATAGCAGTCCTAGCAGTGTGGGCAGTATCCGGTTGTTTGCAAACAGTGTATAGCTGCGCTACTCTTTTAAATATTTCTTTAATTCTGAGGACAAAATGTGCACATCAAAAATCTAATGCTCATTTCCTACTGATTATCAATTCCAGTCACAGCTTTTTTTTTTTTTTTTTTTCACCTCCAAAGCTGGGGTGTCATTTACACTAGTGCATTTTCATTTGAAATGTATACGTTTTGTCAAAGTCCGCATGAACTGGAAGCTACGACCATTTTTTTTTACTAGAGAAATGGAATATGAAATAAGAAAACAGTGGACGTGGCTAGTTTTTTTTTCGCTCCAAGCTGATTGGATGTAGCAAAGTAGGCATTTCAAACAAAAACATCATGAAAAAGATTTTGCCATTATAATCTAATGTTGTGTTCCGACTGCATGATGTTCCAAATAGATGAATCACAGATGTTTTCACGCGACTATCTGGGACAGAGTTTTACCGCTGCTTTGTTTACACAGCAAGATAGATCAGTGATAGTCGGTTTCACACTGCATGACTTTACAATAGGAAGATTTGCTGACAACTTTGTCTCGGCCTGAAAGCTACGCCCCACAACCAAACATACACAAGAAGTGACATGGAAACAACGCAAGGTCTTGGAGTATATCTTTTGTTATAAACAACATCCTGAAAAAAGAAGCCTTTAGTGCGGTAGAAAATTTACTTATTTTGCTCATCAGGCTTTGAAAGGAAATAAGCCGTTGTTCTTAAACCTTTTTCTTTTTTGACCTGGCTGTGGTATTGCTTA